AGACAGACAGACAGACAGACAGACAGACAGGGAGGGAGGGAGGGAGGCAGCGAGGGACCGGGAGGGACTCCCCTCTCCTGGCCCCCCTTTTCGCACGGAAGGACAGAGGGTGGCGGGAGAGAGGGAGGAAGAGAGAGAGATACAGTGAGTGAGAAAGGGAAGAGGAGGGCAACCGCGGGCATCAGGTGAGAGTGGTGAGAGGAGAGGAGCGTGGAGCAGAGCAGGCCGCGACAGGCAGGCAGGCAGAGAGGGTGAGAAAGAGAGAGAAGGAAAAGGGGGGCGGAGGGTGGATCCCTACAGGGTTTGCGGGCGGAGGAGGCGGAGCACGAGTCGTGACAAACAAGCGGGTTTCATTTTAAGTAAGAGCCGTTTCTTTGTCGGGATTTAAACCTCCGCCTTCCACCGCAGAGCGGCCGGACTGGCCGGAATGGCACCGTAGTGGGGGGAAAGGGAGGAAGGTGGAGAGTGCAGCCTCTGTGATGTGCAGAGGCACGGTAGGAGCACGGATCTCCTTTCTCTCAGTATAGAAAGTGGGCCTTGGTTTTCTTTGGCCCTGCTGCAATAAATAATTTCCCCCCCTTTTTTTCAAGGCCTGTTAAATTTCTGTTCGGTTAGGAAGAAAAAACAATCGACCTTACAAAAAGTGCACGACAAAAGCTATTTTTTTTGTCAGCTGCTGGTTGTTGGATTGAGTTTGTGTCCTTTGTTCACGGCCGAAGCGGAGGCCGCCGAACCGCGAGCTCGTGTTCCGTGTGTACGCCAGTAAAAAGGGCCGAAACGGGGGGCGAAGCAGCGAAGCACCCACAAAGCCTCGTTTACATTCGGCGGTTTCAGATAAAAAAGTTAAAAGCTTACATTATATTTTAAAAAAAAACGTTTCTGGGGTGTCGTTTTAAAAGAAAGGGAGCAGCCAACCAGTCATAATGTCACACGTGTTATTTCAGTTATCCCCGCTTCACTGTTCTATATGAGCCCCTTTTCAGCCAAGAATAACAGGCGGACGAATGTCGCAGCATCGCGTCCTCATATTTACCAGAGCCACCATCATCGACTCTCCCTCTCCCTGTCCCATTCGTGGCGTTAGGTGGTGCTGGTGGAAGGTGGTGGTGGTGGGGGTCGTGTTTGTGCACACGGGTGTGCGCGGCATGATTGCGGGGGATCATGCATGAACCACTCCGACACGACCTGCGCACGTAGCGGCAAGGCACGAGGGAGGGGAGGGGAGGGGGGGCGCTCTGTGCGGCACAAGGCACAAGGGGAGGACGCTGTGTGCGGCACAAGGTACAAAGGGAGGACGCTGTGTGCGGCACAAAGCACAAGGCCGTAGGTTGCTGCGTGCGGCACAAACGGGGGAGGTCGGTTTGTTTGGCACAAAGCGGGAGGTCGCTCGGTGTATTTAGATTGTCCGACCTATTTTTCTCCGACCGATTTCTCTAAATTTCCTCAAAGTGCTTTCCGACCCAGGTTATTTCGTCCGACCTATTTTTCTCTGACCTCGTCGATATGCTAAAATTTGGGAAGAATGTGCTTATTCAGAGAGGAACAGGCTTCAGAGGCAGTGAAGGGGTACTTTGGGTGCAGAGAGGGAAAGACCGGGACTATGACGGAGTGCAGCTCCACGTCACGAGGTCGGAGAGTCGCTCTGTGAGGCACAAGGCACAAGGGGATGTCGCTCTGTGCGGCACAAGGGGAGGTCGCTTTGTGCGGCACAAGGGACAAGGGCGCACTGAAAATGGGTTGGCGTCCATAGTATAGGAACGCCAAAATTTGGCGTCTTTTAGGATTTGGCGTCATAGGACGCCAAAACTTGGCGTTATACGACGCCAGAATTTGGCGTCATAAGACGCCAGTGTCTTGGGGTCAAAAGACGCCAACCTATTTACAGTGTGGAGGTCGCTGTGTGCGGCACAAGGGGGGAGGTCACGCGGCGTGAGGGGATAGGCCGTGCCGCGCGGCAGCCGTGTATCGCGGGTGTGCCTACCCTGTCTACTGCAGGCGTCAAGAAGGATGGGGGGGAGGGGCCGTTGCGCCGCCCGGGCGGCTCGGTGGCTGCGAGGAGGGGGAGGGGAGCGGAGAGGGTGCTGGATGGAGGACTAAGGTCAGTATAATTCAACCCGGCAATAGCTCCTCTGTTCGGCTGCATCTGCCGAGCCTCCGCCGCCCCCGCGCGCTGGAGGCGCTGGAGGCCGAGGGGACGAAGAGAGAAAGAGAGAGAGAGAGGTCTGAAGGAGGAGGGGAGGGAGGAGCAGGCAATTGTCGCGCCGCCCATCAGGCTATCGCAATTGTTTATTTGCAGTAACAACAAACCGGACTGCTGGATATTGCGCTGGGAGGACAGGGCGTGGCGGGGCGTGGCGGGGCGTGGCGACAGTGTAAACAGACCGGAAGCCGTCCTCGTCTCGTCGGAGCGGGGGAGGCCGAGGGGCTGGAGGAGGCTGAGAAGGCGGCAGTCGGAGGGGTGGAGGCTCTGGGCCCGGCCCTGGGCCCGGCCCTGGGCCCGCCGCCCTGGGCCCAGACTGCAGAGGAGGCAAGCGCAGCTAATGGCTTTGTATC